ATAATCTAGTGAGGAGCATCACTGTTGGCTGCAGGCTTGTAATGGGAAGACTTCGGCCTTTAGGTCAGCGGATCCAATGGAGCAGAATAAAAGCATCTATGCATCGAGTGGATGGCACAGCGGCTCTTTCTCCACTAACGCAGTCAGGATGTGTTGTGAGAAGAAGTTATTCAGTCAGAGCACCGCTTTCCCTCGTTCATGTGGACACAAACTCATAAGGTTAGTGATTTAATGTGCAGCGCTTTGGAAACTCTTTTCACTTTTCTTTACTCCAGGGCCGTAATTAAACAATTTCATCGATTTAGGTTGGTTACAATTACCAACATTACTTTTGGATATTAGTTAAAACCAAAAAACTTTTACAAGTTATTGAGTTTAATCATGGAAGTATTGTTATGTGTTTCAATATCCAGCTTACTTGGGGCTAATCGTTAAATCCTGCATTTTTTAAAGAACATTTTATTTCAGATTTGATCTTTTCCTTTATAGGTTCAACAGTCATATTTGGGGGCATTGATGGCTTTTCCAGAAAGGTAATCTACATTTATTATGAAAAACAAAACTCTCATGATCCTAATTTTTCAGTTTCAATGCTATAAAATCATTGAATTGGAATTTATTTGACTTTTTTATAGGTTATGTATCTAGAAGCTGCCGACAACAACAAGTTTTTCTGTCTTCATGTGAGAAAAATGGTTTGCCGTCCAGGTAGCAGATTAAAACTGCAGCTTTAGTTAACAAGTCCCTGTAATTTGGCATTTTAATATCAATATTATTAAATACGTACATATTCTACAATTTACCAGGGTCAGAGGTCATCAAGGTGTGGAGGACCTAGATATTGCACAGTTCATGTTTACTGTGTGAGGAACTGATAGAGGAAGCTTCATCTCTGGTAGGAGTGTCCACAATCAGAGGTAAACATTCACGTTTTCTAAAGAACAGATGCAGTAATCAGATTACTTTATGGATAAAATTAGATGTGCTCTCATCATGGTGAGTTTATGGCTTTTACCCACATGCACAAACATTCTGGGAGACCAGGGAAATGTTTTTATTATTAAGAACAAAGTTTAGGTGATGACCTGATCCAGGCCTGGTCTCTGACAGGAAGGCTGAAGCTGTAGATGACATAGAAAGGAGGTAGTAGGATCTAGTGTGTTTGTAGGGCCGATGACAATGGAGAGCAGTCCTAAGAGCAGTGGGTCCAGATGGGTTGATGACAGACAGATTTATCAAGAGAGCTCCTATCCCTTCCATAGGGTCAAAGGTCAGAACACTATCATAGGTAGGACAGGAACTCAGGCAGCCTTCAGCCTAATGAACACTGTTACGCAACATAAACACGCATTAATGACCAAAACTTTACATACATTTTGTTGCAGCAATGCCTTTAGTGGCATCATGTCAAATTACTAAAGTTGCATTATACTGTTTAGCCTCTGAAAGGATATTGCTACTCGAAAAGTATTTGTATAACAATTATTTCCATCTAATATGGTGGATCATTTCTCTCCTTACAGGATTGAGAGATTGTGGTGAGATGTATGGATGGCTGTAACCTAAACTATGATGAGATCCTGCTCAGTCTGGAAGAGGACGGGCTACTAGACATCTCAGATACATCGAACATCTTCCTGCTGCAGGGAGGGTGGGAACCATCACCCTCTGCCCACAGAGGGGAGCGTGACACCCCAGCAGGTGGACTGCTGCCCAACAGAACTAATGGGGATGTAAGTC